TTTCACTAGAAAGTGATATCATGACTCTAATAAAATGATATGATAGAAAAGAGATGACAAAGTGAGATGAAAAGAGAATCTAAGATAGACCCTTATTCCAAGAAAGATTTCAGTTATTTATGATAATGAATAAATCCCAAAAATCTAAAACACCAAAAAGAAAAATAACGTGGGACTTAGCAGCTCAATTAGTTGAATATGCAACTGCTGCAGATCTCAAAATTATTGATGAACCAACTAACTTAAGAATATGTAACTTATTAAAAGCTAATAAGAATAAAGCTAAAGATTTATTGAATGTACTAAGAAAAAGAATGCTCAATAAAAGAGATAATGTTGTTTATTTGTCACTTGTTTTACTCCAACAAACAATTATTGAATGTCCAGAACTTATTGACTTATATTCAACAAGTGCATGGCAAGATTGTTTTATCACAACACTACTACGAACTAATGTATTAATTGAAACAAAGAAGAAACTCTTATCAATTATTCGTGGAATGACAGAATCATTCCCAAATGACTTATTATTCAAAGATACTTATGAACAAATAATTCAACACGGTATTGAGTTTCCTGAGGCTGCTCATTTTGGTTTGTTTATTTTAATTCGTTTAACAACAAACATAATAGTATAGACAAAGAAGTTACGTTTGTAACAAAAATATCTAAATCAAAGTTTATTGATGAGTGTGAACAATTGATTGGTTATTGTCAATTCTTAAACCAGTCATTTGATTATTTAACAATTTTAGAAGTTTGATGTTTTTAATAGAATTTGTACATTAAAGTCAAAATGAAAGTATTAAATATAATAGTTAGAACAATTGAAAGAAGACATGGAAATAAAAGAAATAATATTTAAGTTAGAAAAAGCTCAACCGATTATTATTTCTTTATTAAGAAAAAAAGATTTGTCAATGGATGTGATTCAATTAGTAAAAACAACTCATGAGCAAATTAAAACAACATTAGAACGTTACAAAAAGTTAACAGAAAAGTGGGTACATTTAGCATGTACAGACAAGAAGATAGTAGAAAATACACAATTTATGTTTGAATCAAAGAAATTAAGATAAATTCAGATATTTATTGTTTTCTCATTGTTTACTTTCTATGAAAAAAAGAAGAATAATAAACTTAAAAATATTAAATATGTCTAATGACATAGATATCTTTGGAGATGATAGTTCTATTGATATTCCTATCACAAAAGAACAACACCAATTTAATGAAGCTATTGAGTCAATAACAGATAAAGATGGATATTTTCGTTTGTATTGTTTTTGGAAAAAGATGAATAGAAAGAAATAATAACTCCTTGTAGTTGGACGAAATGGAGAAGTTGTAAATGGGTATCAACTAGAAAAGAAGGTTGGACAAGGAACATTTGGAAGTGTTTATTTAGCGAAAAAAATAACAACAACAAAAGAAGTTGCATTAAAAATTATTCGTAAAAATGAAAGAATGGTAAAGTTGTCACAAAAAGAGGCACAATTAGTAAAAGAAGTGATGTCACTAAAAGGAATTTATATTGTTCAGCTAATAACTGAATTTATGTATAAAGATCATTATTGCATTGTTCTTGAAAAAATGGATATGAGTTTGAGAGAATTATTATCACATAAACCAAATGAAGAAGGAATTGATATATTTCATATACAACGTTATGGAAAACAATTATTTGAAGCACTTCATGTATTACATACAAAATGTGAAATATATCATTGTGATATTAAACCTGATAATATTTTAATTGATCTTCATTCAGACACAATTAAATTAGCCGATTTCGGTACAGCACTTCATCCATATGAATTAACTATTGATAGTGAATTAGGAAGTAGATATTATAGACCTCCAGAAGTAATGGTTGGCTATCCATTTGATGGATCATTTGATAATTGGAGTAGTGGTGTAACACTATATGAATTATTTACACACTCATTTTTATTTACTGGGGAAAGTAATAATGACATGTTATATCAAATTATTCAACTCAAAGGTTCATTTCCTCAGAAAATGATTCGAGAAGGGAAATTTTCATCAAATCATTTTACACAAGACTTTAAATTTATTCATTATGAGACAGATGTGTTTGGAAAAGAACTTGCAAGAAGAATTTCTTATTCTCAACAACCTATTAGAATTTCATCAAAATTAATTCATTCATTAAAAGAAAGTAATGAACATTTATCATTAATATACACATTTGCACAATTACTAGAAAAGCTTCTTATCATTGATCCAACAAAACGATTTAATTCGATTCAGGCGTTAAATCACAGCTTCTTTACACAAACAAAGGAATAGTATAAGTAATAATATAATTTAATAGTTTTAATAGTTTATACCTAATAATAAAATAAATAATAAAAAGAAGTAACAAAAAAGAAAAAGAAAAAAAAGAACTTCAAAATGTCATAGTTTTACATGTCAAGTGAAGAAATAAGAGTCTATACAATTGAAGAATTATTTCAGTTAAGAGAATATAAAATAAATTTGTATATATCACTAATGAAAAAAGTAAAAAGTAAAAAATCATCAAAGAAAAAAGGACAACAAGAAAGCACTTCTCCAGCAGAGTTTTTTGTTTGTTTTTCGTTTTATTAACAAAAGAAATAATTTAGCAACGAAATAATAAAATTAATTTAAATAGGAAAGATATAGATGGATTATGCATGATGTTATTCTTATTGAAAAAGAAAAACAAACAAAAATGCATGGATCTGACTTATATTCATTGTTTTTACAAGGAAAATTAAATTTACATGAATGTACTGTTAAATCTCAAGACCCAACTATTCCATTTGTTTTACAATTAAAGAAATGTATTGACATTTATAAGAAAATATTAGATATTGATAAAGCAAAGGAAGCAGAGAAACTAAGTTTGTTCATTTTATTGTTATTCATCAACTTAATTCTATTCCATTAATTCTTTTAAATCATTAATTAAATTATAGAACAAAAAATGGAAGAAATGAATAAACCAAAGGCAGCTGAACCTATCTATAAAGAACAAGCAAATGAAGAACTATTTGACCCATTAGCAGGAATAGATGAATAAAGAAGATAAT